AAAAGTCCCAAAGTGTGTTTGTACAAATTGAGATCTTCAGAGAACCAGACACAATAAGAATTCCAGAGAACAGCATAGAGCACAAACAGATGTCAAGAGACGAAGTGAAACAAATGCTCCTGGAGCTAAGTAAGAACAAAGCAGTTGGCCCAGATGGAGTTTCACCATGGGTTCTGAGAGAATGTGCACCTGAGCTCAACATTCCACTTCAGTTGATTTTTTAGACATCCCTATGTACAGGAGTCGTAGCAGTTGTGTGGAAAAAGGCTAATAAAGTTCCAATCTACAAAAGTGGCAGCAGGGAAGACCCCCGCAATTATAGACCTGTATCATTGACAAGTGTAATAGTCAAAATATTGGAAAAAATAATAAAAACTATATGGGTAGAACACCTGGAGAGAAATGATATAATATTAGACAGACAGTATGGTTTTCGATTTGGAAGATACTGTGAATCGAATTTACTCAGTTTCTATGATCGAGCCACAGAGATTTTACAGGAAAGAGATGGTTGGGTTGACTGCATCTATCTGAACCTAAAAAAGGCTTTCGACAGAGTTCCACATAAGAGGTTGCTCTGGAAACTGGAAAATATTGGAGGGGTGACAGGTAAGCTACTAACATGGATGAAAAATTTTCTGACTGATAGAAAAATGAGGGCAGTAATCAGAGGCAATGTGTCGGACTGGAGAAATATCTAAAGTGGAGTACCACAGGGTTTAGTTCTTGCACTGGTGATGCTCATTATCTACATAAATGATCTACCAGATGGAATACAGAATTATATGAATATGTTTGCTCATGATGCTAAGATAATAGGAAGGATAAGAAACTTTGATGATTGTCATGCCCTTCAAGAAGACCTGGACAAAATAAGTATATGGAGCATCACTTGGCAAATGGAATTTAATGTGAATAAATGGCATGTTTTCGAATGTGGACTAGGAGAACATAGACCCCACACAACCTATAAATTATGTGAGAAATCTTTAATGAATTCTGATAAAGAGATCTAAGGGTGGTTCTAGATAAAAAACTATCACCTGAGGACCACATAAAGAACGTTGTGCAAGGAGCCTATGCCACACTTTCTAACTTTAGAATTGCTTTTAAATACATGGATGGCGAAATACTAAAGAAATTGTTCACGACTTTTGTTAGGCCAAAGCTAGAATATGCAGCGGTTGTGTGGTGCCCATATCTTAAGAAGCACATCAACAAACTGGAAAAGGTGCAAATACATGCTACTAAGTGGCCCTCAGAACTGAAGGGCAAGAGCTACGAGGAGAGGTTAGAGGCATTAAATATGCCAAAACTAGAAGACAGAAGAAAAAGAGGTGATATGATCACTACCTACAAAACAGTAACAGGAATTGATAAAATCGATAGGGGAAGATTTCCTGAGACTTGGAACTTCAAGAACAAGAGGTCATAGATTTAAACTAACTAAACAAAGATGCCGAAAAATATAAGAAAATTCACTTTCGTAAACAGAGTGGTAGACGGTTGAAACAAGTTAGGTGAGAAGGTGTAGGAGGCCTAAACCATCAGTAATTTCAAAACGTTATATGACAGAGTGCTGGGAAGACGTGACACCACGAGCGTAGCTCTCATCCTGTAAGTACACTTAGGTAATTGAGTAATTGTAATTAGGTAATTACACTGAGTGTCCAAAAGGCAGCAGCAGTGGTCAAAAGGATAGCAAAAAGCAGTCTCTTCAGGAAGGAGAGGATGTAAAAAAATTAAAAAAGGAAGAAGCAGACAAAAGGGGTTAAAGACTGGGCTAGCTAGCACAGCAGTGCTAACCATGAAAGGGTTAACCGGAGCGGATACCATGGTCCTGATACAATCTCCTGTCATTGAGCAAATGCCACTCCGTTTAATCAGAAGTCATGGCAGACATTGGGTTTCACATCCAAACATCAACCAAATTCCTCTGTTATCAGTCACTCATCTCAAGTATTTATCTGATAACTACTTTCAGAATTTCACAATTCAAATATACTTCACACAGAATTTCCTTCTTTTCCACCTCCATATAATTCATTTTAACCATGTTAACTTTTAGCAGTCTTCCCTTACACACCAGACATCTAAAAGAATGGGTCAATACCTATAGCTCATTTCCCACACACATTGGTAAAAACAAACATTTTGTTCACTACGATATAATTCACTAAAATGGTAATATATACTGTATAAGCAATCTAGGTCAAATAGTATTTGTATCATGGGTGACCTTAATTTTAGTGAAATAAACTGACTTAACAGAACAGGGAATAACGAAGCAGAAGATTTTCTAAAATTAATAGACGATTGCTTCCTGAAGCAAAACATTACGAAACCAACACAGGAAAATAATATTTTAGACTTGGTGATAATTAACAGGAGGAGACAAATTAATGACATCAAAATAGGGAGTGAGCTAGGGAACAAGGATCACAAAGAAATCATAGAATGGAAAAGATTTTTGGAGAAAATTATGTTAAAGTCCCAGATTTCCAAAAAGCTGATTTTAATGGACTAAATTTTTTTTCATGTAATAGATGGGAAAGTGGGCATGGGGGTGGGTGGGCCGGTCTTGGAGTGAGCCATGAACCTAGTGGGAGACATGAGAACAGATTTTGATATGGATTCAAAATACTGTACAGTTTAACTTGTTTAAAAATATTCTAACCAAAGCAGAGGAATGTAGTATATCATACAAACTGAATAGTAAGTAAGTAATTATCAAAAGAAGGCACCAAACCGGGAAGGCTATGTTTGAAATTATAGTAAGTATTATTATAATTGTATAAATAAGAGCTGCCTCAAAACCTTACATTTGTTAGCAGTAAACTGCATCTGCCAATTTTTTGGCCATTTTAAAACCTTATTTAGATTGTCTTGAAGTGATAGCGAATCTTTTTCCATGTTTATCTCCCTCCCGATTTTCATATCGGCAAATTTGCAAATATTTCTGCTCAAACCCGAATTAAAATCATTTATACATATCATAAACAACAGAGGTCCCAGAATAGAGCCCTGAGGCATTCCACCCACAACACCCTCCCACTCTGACTCAACCCCATTTATACTAACTCTTTGTTTCCTTTGGTATAGCCATGCCCCATATCCAACCCAATATAGCACCCCCAATACCATGAGCCTTCATCTTTCCAAGCAATCCCTCATGTGGCACTGCATCAAAAGCCTTGCCAAAGTCAAGGCATACATCACAAACCTTACCACCATCAACTGCCTCAACCATGCTGGAACAAAATGATAGCAAACTAGATAAACATGAATACCCATTAGTAAAACCATGTTGAACATTTATTAATCTATGTTTTCAAGATGAAGACGAATGGTATTTTCAATTATAGATTCAAGTAACTTTCCCACAATAGACGTTAAGCTAATTGGCCGATAATTTGATGCAGGTGATCCATCTTTCTTGAAAATTGGTATCACATTAGCAACCTTCCATGACTGGCACTCTGCCTGACTCTACTGATTTATTAAATATGGTAGACAGCGACACTATTTGTTTAATAACATCCTCCCTGGTATATATTAGTCAACTTATCCTCTTCTCTATCAACATAGACTTGTTTGGCTGAAGTCATACTGTTAAGTTCCTCTTTAGTAAAGATCCTAATAAAGTAGGATCCCTTGATTATGTCAAGCGTAGGTTAGACACACAGTATATATATATATATGGGTGAGATTGGGTGGATATAGATAGGAGCTCCCTCACATGGGCCAATAGGCCTTCTGCAGTTTACATCATTCTTATGTTCAATATAAATAAGATTAATATTAGTTAACACTTACTATATTCATCTGTATTGAGTTCATGACTGCTGGGTGTGTGGTTGCCAAGTACCAAGAAACCTGTCTCTTTCTCAAGTAAAGATGAGCTAAATGAGACTGCAGTCTGCATGTTATGATGTCTGGAAAAATCACTTGCAGATGGCTCAGGGGATAGTCTCTGTACAATCTGCTGGAATCAAATCTAATGTTATAGTTTTATTAGTTGACTGAGAAGTGAGTAGTGACCACAATAGGTAAAAGAATGGTTTGGATTCAGTGGTTGTATCACTATTATTATATAATATGTAAACTGTGTTACGTTTCAGAATAATACAAGTGGTGAACTGAGAAATGATGCACAATAGGAAAACATTGTAGAATTCAAGTGCTTAACAAAGTCAATTGAGAATATTAACTAAAATAATATATCTGAGCTGTCCCTTTCAGCAACTCTACAGGAAGATACTACTCATCTTGTTGGAATCTGTCGCAGTGAAAGCAGGTTGACATACCATACCATTAGCACACAGACTCACTGGGAAAAACTCAATCCAGCCTAAAATGTAGGGAACCTAAAAATATTCCTAGGAACAACTTGGTGACATAGGGATCATCATGCTGTCTCCTAGCTAATCATCTAACTTTCCACTTGGTAACTAATACAGACCACCACCTTAACAAAACCCCCCAAAGCCCAACCTTTTCACATTCCATCCAGACTTACCTCAGCCATAGGTTGTTGACTAGCAGAGACCAATACTTTCAGTTATTCATTTTATTACTAAAAAACTGTTTTATTTATGAAGTGGGCTTAAACTTATATTGGAAATCACGTTTTGTGATGTGTGTCTGTTCCCTATCACCAACTGGTGACCAGCGTTATCTCCTGTACCTGGTTGATTCATGCCGCTCAGCAGTAGGGTTCTCCTAAGAGTTTTCTCACTACACTTGCAATTTCTAGGTGCTTTATATCAGAAGTTAGGCATTACTATTGGACATGGGTGAATTTCCTTCTGATTCTCACACATCCTGGATAATTAGTACTTAATATCTTGAGGTTATCTTGAGATGATTTCGGGGCTTTAGTGTCCCAGCGGCGCGGTCCTCGACCAGGCCTCCACCCCCAGGAAGCAACCCATGACAGCAGACTAACACCCAGGTACCTATTTTACTGCTAGGTAACAGGGGCATAGGGTGAAAGAAACTCTGCCCATTGTTTCTCGCCGGCGCCCGGGATCGAACCCGGGACCACAGCATCACAAGTCCAGCGTGCTGTCCGCTTGGCCGACCGGCTCCCTAACCAAGTGTATTACCAAGTGTATTCTCTTAGTTAGTGGTGTCCTGTCTTTACTAAAATCTATTACATAATACTATTACAGTTTCCAATTAATTTGACATATACTGTACTGTACTAACCTCTCATTTAACCAAGTGTATTACCAAGTGGTGTCCTGTCTTTACTAAAATCTATTACAGTTTCCAATTAATTTGGCACATACTGTACTGTATTGACCTCTCATTTAAATTATTCAATCCATTTCCCATTGTTTGCAAAAATCAAGTGTTGAATGTAATAAGTTTCCCTTTCCTATTGCAACCACTCAGTAACTCCCTAAAGCAAATGAATTAAGATGCCTATGATACTCAATTGAGCCTACTGGCAGCCAGGATCAAAATCTATTCTCTCAACAAAGTTAGGGGAACGTGGGAATCCCAAATTGAGAAAAATCCAGTGTTAAATGTTATAAAATGCCTCTCAGCTCAACAAATCAATAATCTTGAAGTATGAAAACCTTGGGGTAATGCACTAGACCTCTAGGGACCCACAAATGCCTACTGGAAATCAGGACCAGAATCTGGGCCCCCTTCACAAGCAGCAAAGGGATGATTGCCAGGGACTGACGGCGATAAAAGAGAGACACTTAACTCCAGCCAATTCCAGAATCCAAGGTGGATGGGAACATGCCAATAGGCACTGTGAAGATCCAGGGGAAATGAGCCACAAACTGCTCAGAACTACCTGGTAAACATGGGACACAATAGACAGCCAGAATGCTGTGCAACCTGTTGAGATCTGAAAAGACAAGAATAAAGTGAGTATTTGACACACAGTTTCTTGCTTAGGAACTGGGAACAGATGCCAAACAAGTCCTAATAAAACAGTTGGAGTTCAATTGCCCTACAGCTTGAGTAAGCAAGACTAAATTGGAAGGCCCAATCTCTTAATGCAGCAGCTGGCTGGTATGCCGCCAACTGCAAGGTGAAAAGATTCCTCTACTCAACAGGTGGAATAATGGGAAGGCAAGAGTGACTGTTGTTGGCCGAGGTCACCAATTCCTACTCTGGAAAACTGTAGTGGTGTCAGGCCTGGAAGAATGTGAAGCTATGCCCAACCACCAAGAATGGGTGCTAAGGAGAGCAATCCATTTGATGTTTGTTCTTTTGCATGACAGTGAGTTGGTCTTTCAGTAGTGGCTTGAGTTAGGTTTGCCACTACCTTCCTTTCCCCCAATTATGGCATCAGGCTCTTTGGAATTGTCTGAACGGTAGAGCAACAGTCTGGTTTCATGCAGGTCGGTGTTCAATCTACAACTGTTCAAGTGGTTGGGCACCATTTCCTCCCCCCGTTGCATCCCAAATCCTTATCCTGACCCCTTCCCAGTGCTATACTGTATAGTCATAATGGATTAGCACTTTTCCCTGACAGTTCCCTTCCATCCTTCTTTGGAATTTTACTGGTCATGGTGGTTCAACATGTCATTAAAATCAGGTCTCTTAAAATCAGGTAATGTCTCTTAAACCCGCAGGCTCAAGGAAGATATTGAGGAACTGTAGCTTAGAAACCAATAAGAACTAAAAGTAACTATTATCAACAAAAACACTTTGTGAGAATATGTAAGTTCTGTGCGGAGCTCTGTAAATAAGGATTATGGCAAAGTTTTAGCCCATATAACTACATGTAATAATATATCCAAGACAACTCAAACATGATATTGATAAAGGATATGGCATAAAAAACCAGCGTTGAATGTAATGAAACGCCATTTTCTGGGTGAGTCCCGGAGGCTTCCTGGAGCTATCCATGGCTGATATGGACACCCTAACTATTTTGCAACAGTCGATGTGGTTGGAGTTCTAGGCCTACCGGGGATCACGAGCCAGAACCTGGCCCTCTCACAGAGGCACGAGGAGCAATGGCCCATAGAAATGCACATGTGGTTTGGAGCATTATATATCTGCCATCGACTGGGACAGGCACCCAGAAAGATAAGCGCTACAAAACAAACCCCTATTCTAGTTAACAACGAAAATTATCAAACGAGTGGACAGAACTCCCCAAAGGAAAAACGAGCAAACAAGCATGACGTCACACAAGCCACGCCGCATGTCTGCGCATGTCTATCCGGCAACATGCGAGCTGCCCACACCCGAAGAATGTCATCAACAAATTGGGTGATCGGAGCCACAAACAAGCAAACACAGTTCACAGGACTCGGGGTCGAATGCGTCACTGACCCAACAGGCAGCATGACGGAGGAAAAAACAATGAGCATCACCCTGAGACAAGGGGACAGAGCAACCCTCAAACTCGCAGAATGTGAGAGGGGACGCAGGGGTCACACCCAGTGGACCTGAGTGCCCCCGTGGGGGTTTCCCAGGGCCCCTAGACTAGGTCTGCTAAGGGTTATCCCAGGCAGGGTACTGCTAATCAGCGCCCCAAACTACCAAGCAAACTGCTCAAAGCTGAACTCATGGGACGTGTCCACTCACGAGGGCGAAGTAGATGGTTCCACAACACAACGACCCTAATATAAGGGGAAGAGAGAGCACAAGGCAGACTCCCCCCACCAGGCAAAAACAAAAAAGAAAAGAAAAACCTCGCAAGAGGACAATGTACCCGAAGAGAACAGAGCCAGCCGCTGTTAAAGGGAGAAACTAGCTACACGGTACCCCGCGCCCCAGCAGTGCAATAACTACCACTTACCCCAAGGCAACAAAGATGGAAACCCACCCCACACACTCAGGGCGGCCAAACGCCAAGAAGCGAAAGGCCAAAAGAGGTAGACCCAAGGTTTCTTGTGGAAGGGAACCCCCAAGCCCCAAGGGCGGTACTTACAGGGCACTCAGGGAAGGTGACCCTAAGCACATGCAGCCCGAGTACCTGAGAATATTACTCCCAGCTCACACGACCGCCGTAAGAGCAGCACTGAAAACAAGTAACAGCACTGAGAGAAGACTGGAGCTGGAGCCACACGACGGTGCACAATCCCATCAGCCGAGGAACTGGGGTGAGGATCACCGGCGCGGGGGTCTGGCGCTCCCCCTTCCCCCCTCGCAGGGAGTGGGGGAGCTGCGCAAACATGCAGCACGGCTCGTGTGACGTCATGCTTGTTTGCTCGTTTTTCCTTTAGGGAGTTCTGTCCACTTGTCTGATGATTTTCGTTGTTAACCAGAACAACGGTTTGTTTTGTGGCGGTGACCTTTCTGGGTGCCTGTCCCGGTCGATGGCAGATATAGGATGCTCCAAATCACATGTGCATTTCTATGGGCCATTGCTCCTCGTGCCTCTGTGAGTGGGGCCAGGTTCTGGCTCGTGGTTCCCAGTAGGCCTAGAACTCCACCCACATCGACTGATGCAAAATAGTTAGGGTATTCATATCAGCCATGAATAGCTCCAGGGAGCCGCAGGGGCTCCCCCTAGAAATAGATTATAAACTAACTTGCAATGTCTGAAACTATATACGGGTATTTGAAATATAAAATTATGTATGAAGATTAGTTCACAGTAACAAATCACCTTATTATTCTTCTGATCACGACTAATTTCTTGATTACATTTTGGATGCTTATCATTAATTTCAATTTCGGCTATTTTCTGATTCTTTGTCTCTTTAACAAGACGAATCCCGACATCACCAGTTTTTGCTTCCATAGAGGCTTGTTGGGCACATGGCACTGCAAGAAAAAAATAACTTTAAATATATAACAATTGCACAAATGGAGAAATGTGACTAACATGTAAATAAGAAAAAATATTAAATATCTAGCAGACATGACCTAAACATTAGTTTCAACAGACATCCATTTCAGTAATTGCTACACTGAACACTGATACTGTATGTTGATCCTCAGACACACTACCACTTGTCCATTCCTAATAAGAACATAGGAAGCGAGCTGAGATTGAAGGGAGGAGAATGGGAAATAAAAATAAAAGAAACAGTGAGAGATAGAAAGGAAAATGGGGGATGGGATCTGTTGATCCACACACACTTCCACTCGTCAGTTCCTAATAAGGATATATGAATTAGGATTCAATCCTAATTCATACACAGTTCATACGACATATGAATATATATAGTATACTGTACCTAATAGCCAGAGTTGTCTAACAAGCCAAATTTTTATAACCCATTAAGAACATGATAACATTATGTACTTGTATCTGTATCATGATGCTGCAACAGTAATACCCGAGTTAAATATTTGTTTGCATTATTTAGTGTTTTCACATTCAATAATAAGTGCAGCACAATTACATCATATTCTATACTCACCTAGTTGTGCTTGCGGAGGTTGAGCTTTGACTCTTTGGTCTGTGTGCATACAAGTGAGAAATTTGTTACAAATGCTTACAAAGAATTATATAAACTTACTTTTGTGTTTCAAATGTCTGCTTAGAGTGCCATGTTCTTTGAAGCAACGACCACAATACTGGCAATGGAAAGGAGCTTCGCCAGTGTGAATTCTTAAGTGACGTATCAGAGAAGCTTTAGTTACAAATGCTTTCCGACATTCTATGCATATGAAAGTTTTAACACCATTATGAGTTCTTTCATGCATATTTCTAGCACTCTGAAATGAAAGGTATCAGGATTATTGTAAGAAATCTCTTGAAGCTTTAATACAAAGTATGTACAGTACAGTGGAGCCCCCATTACCTGGTCCCAGTTTTCCAGATTTTAAACTTTTTTTCACTCAATTTAAGGACCTCTAATTTACCGTTCCACTGGTTTTAACAACCGAATTTGAGATCATTGTAGCATTATTTACCAAGTCATTGACCTGGAAATGAGTCACTGATTTAATAGCTGGAATACGCTATTGAGTTTGCTGAGCTAGGCACTCATTAAACTGGAGGTCATCATTGCATCTGTTGTGATACAACTTTGTCCTAACTAGGCCAATGCTTTCCACAATGTTTTCGTGAAGTGCATATGTCTCAAGTGGCTGTGAAAAGGACAAGTATGAGAGTGTGGAATGGACACGTGTGTGGGAGGCACATGTCTTTACCTAGTTGCCTAGTAGTGCTTGTGGGAGTTGAGCTCTGCTCTTTCAGCCAGCCTCTCAACTGTCAATCAACGCTTCTTTTTCATACACACACAAACACACACACCCAGGAAGCAGCACGTAACAGTTGTCTAACTCCCAGGTACCTATTTACTGCTATGTAACAGGGAGCATTAGGGTGAAAGAATCTCTGCCCATTTGTTTACCGCCATCACTGGGAGTCGAACCCAGGTCCCCAGGTTTATGAGTCCTGAGTGCTGTCCACTCAGCCACCAGGCACCCTAGTGTAATTACCTAAATGTAGTTACAGGATGAGAGCTATGCTCGTGGTGTCCCGTCTTCCCAGCACTCTTTGTTATATAACGCTTTGAAACTATTGACGGTTTTGGCCTCCACCACCACCACACTTAACTTGTTCCAACCGTCTACCACTCTGTTTGTAAAAGTGAATTTTCTTATATTTCTTCGGCATCTGTGTTTAATTAGTTTAAATCTATGACCTCTTGTTCTTGAAGTTCCAGGTCTCAGGAAATCTTCCCTGTTGATTTTATCAATTCCAGTTACTATTTTGTACATAGTGATCATATCACCTCTTTTTCTTCTGTCTTCTAGTTTTGACATATTTAATACCTCTATCCTCTCCTCGTAGCTCTTGCCTTTCGGTTCTGGGAGCCACTTATTAGCATGTCTTTGCACCTTTTCCAGTTTGTTGATGTGCTTCTTAAGATATGGGCACTACACAACTGCTGCATATTCTAGCTTTGGCCTAACAAAAGTCATGAATAATTTCTTTAGTATTTCACCATCCATATATTTAAAAGCAATTCTGAAGTTAGAAAGCATAGCATAGGCTCCTCGCACAACGTTCTTTATGTGGTCCTCAGGAGATAGTTTTCTATCTAGAACCACCCCCAGATCTCTTTCTTTATCAGAATTCTTTAAGGATTTCTCACATAATCTATAGGTTGTGTGGGGTCTATGTTCACCTATTCCATATTCCATAACATGGCATTTATTCACATTAAATTCCATTTGCCAAGTGGTGCTCCATATACTTATTTTGTCCAGGTCTTCTTGAAGGGCAAGACAATCATCTAAGTTTCTTATCTTTCCTATTATCTTAGCATCATCAGCAAACATGTTCATATAATTCTGTATTCCAACTGGTAGATCATTTATGTAGACAATGAACATCACCGGTGCAAGAACTGAACCCTGTGGTACTCCACTTATGACATTTCTCCAGTCCGATACAATGCCTCTGATTACTGCCCTCATTTTTCTATTAGTCAGAAAATTTTTCATTCATGTTAGAAGCTTACTTGTCACTCCTCCAATACTTTCCAGTTTCCAGAACAACCTCTTATGTGAAACTCTGTCGAAAGCCGTTTTTTTGGGTCCAGATAGATGCAGTCAACCCAACCATCTCTTTAATGTAAAATCTCTGTGGCTCTATTATTTTAATATGTTTCATCATACATTTATTGAAAGATATTTTAAAGTGGTTATTGTATGCCAACTCTTACCTCCTCTAAGATCAGCTGGATAGTTGTTTATATTCTAGGCAAGGGAATTGCTATACAGGATGTGAAACAAAACATCGCATTTCTGGATGTGATGTTTTGTTGTCGTACCAGGCCACCAGGGTGGTGCAACCGGTGGTGGAGCACCATCACAGCACCCTGGGTTTGTTGTGATTCACTCATTGCAAATGACTGATAGGTGGATGAAATTTTAACTTTCCTTTCAAATTTCAAGGAGCATTTTTCATTTAGATAATGAATAAATGGTTCTTATAGGTAACACAGTCGTTAAATAATGCATGACATATATCAGGCATGGGTTATGTATGGAGATGAGATGTGAGCTTCCCTCATAACTGCTGACGTATTGTAAGCTATTTTTCGTAATTTTGAGATAACAGACTGTGGTAACTCGGCTTATTTTCAATATTTTATTATTAGTAACACAATTTACTGAAATAATTTGGCTCATTTTCAATATTTTATTATTAGCAACGATTTTTGTACCTAGTGAACTTACCCAGTATGCTTGTTCGGCTCTTGGTCTCTCATCCGTAATATGGCCACATTAGACGCAGGACAATTTTTTTATACATTAAAAAATAAAAAAGGGCATCTTATACACCAGCAAATAAGGTAATTAAAAGCGATTCTGAAGTTGGAAAGTGCAGCATATGCTCCTCGCACAATGTACTTTGTGTGTTCCTCCGGTGACAATCTACTATCCAGAACCACCTCTGTATCTCTTTGTTAGAGTTCTTTAACCCTTAAACTGCGCATGGCATATACTGTATATATACGCCATGAGTAACATGTCCCACCGTGCGCATGACGTATATATACGCCATAGGGTGCCAGGCACGATTCAAATGGCCAGCAGCTATGTGGGTTCACACCAGCTTCTTCAGGGCTCTTGTAAATAGATGCTATGTTTACAAAAATCGTGGGCAATATTCTCCAGTGTGATAGCCACAGTACTGTGGGAGCAACCAAGGCTGGCACACGCAGCCTTAGCTAACAGCATTGCTGTTAAGCTTGTGACCACAGCATCGCCTAAAAATGTAAAAATAAATATATAACTGCTATTATTAAGCGATGACAGTATTACAGATGACCCCTGACTGTGATAAAAATGACCAGGATTGTAATAGCATAATTATTGTGATAATTAGCGCTATGTGGGAGGAGTAATGCTGAGGGAGGGAGGGAGATAGTGTCGTTTACTGACTGTGTGGCCACCTCTTATTGTCTGTATTCACCATACCAGCTCAGTGGTTCTCTATGGTGAACACAAAGTAAATACCCATATATAATGCGTGTATATAGTGTAATAACAGCAAAACTATTTGTTTATTGTTTTATGAACGTAATAATTAAATCACTAATATGAACACCATACTTTTGAGTAAAGTGATGATTCACACATTTTATTATATAAATCTATCACACTACACACTATTGAATAATATTACTGCAAAAACTAAGAAAAAATCAATCAGACACATTGAAATAATTAGGTAATATCATCTTTGTGGCAACTCCCACCTGACAGCTCGGGTAACGATGACTGCCTCTGACGACTGCTCTGTCAACGCCCACATTTTACCAGACTTCCTCGGCCTATTGCGCCCAAAATTTGTCACCCACGATTTTTTTTTTTCCTGTGCTCAGGGAACACAAATTATAATTTTTAGAAGACAAAAATATTTTTTATAATATTTTTTTTCTTGCGCACAGGGGTGTTAATCTCCTCAGGACCCCTTAGCAGCTTAAGGGTTAACCCTTAAACTGCGCAAAATGTCAAATGATGTGTGAAATTGAACTCGGTTTTGAAAATTTTCTGAAACGCTTTCAAATGTTTTGTGCATAATCTACTAGGCAAATGCTCCAACTTTGTCTAAATGATACCAGTGTATCTTGAAAAACAAGAAACTAAAAAATAATTATAAAATTGAATATTGAAAACTTCATATTTTGAAATCAGCTGCAAAAATATAAAAATATCACCAACTGTTCATTTGGTGTTATTATGCTCTCAGAATAGCATATGATCTTCATTTTCATATACTGTATTTAGAATATAGGTTTTCAGTGTAGTTTACTGTAGAAAAAAAAAAAAAAAAACGTCAATATGGCATTTGAAATATGCGCAAATTTAGACAACAAAAATTTGTAACTCCAAACGTTTAGAGTTTATGAAAAATGAATTCTATAGGGATTGTAAAACAGACAGCTGTGCACACACTATGTAAAAATGGTGAGAATTGGTCAGAAACTAGATTTTTGGATACTGAAGAAAGTTGAAATTCTAGTTATAGATATAATTGGAGTTGAATTTATCGACAATGAATAAGGCAGTTTTAACTCATGAATTTAATTGTATGTTATAATAAACATTGTTTGGCATTCGTACTCACGTATGTGAAAGTTGTAGGTCAACGTGTGCAGAAATGAAGTAAAGAAAAAATACCCCCCTCAAAGCCCTAATCTGGTCCCTAATCATCAAAACAACCTAAAGAAACAAGGAAAATAGAGTTTGAAATCTGTGAAAAAATCAGCCAAAACAAATTCCAAGTCCCAAGTTCAGAGAGTTGTAACTGATTTATTTGTTGACCAATTTAATTGTGGCTTCACATAGTTAGTGATGAGTATGCATTCTCCAGGATGTAAAGGTTAAAACAAATTCAAATAATAAACGGAGGAAAAAAAAAAAATCCCCTAAAAAATATTTTTTGGAGATTGTTGAAAGTAACTAATAATAACATTGGGCAATGTATTTATATGATATAAGACAAAATAGAGCATAATAACATAATTACTCATTATTATTTGTTATTATGTATTACTCACTAATGCTATAAAGGTACCAGCTGTATATCAAATTTGTGGACACTTCTTACTTCTATTCTTCTTTGTGCGTGGGACAGGTGCTTGCATCTCTTTATTATTGCATTATCCATCAGTTCCAGTTAATAGGAGCTGTTCTCTTTAACAACAAAATGTTCTTTTTCTTTTAAATATTTGTCTAAAATCAATTTCTGAAAATATTTTGATGAAAGTTTCATGAAGCTGAAGCCAATAAATTGGAGATTTGTTTAACTTTTTAAGTAATTTTTACATAATTCAAATATTTTTTGAATTATACCTCCTCTTCAATGTCACACGTCATGTGATGTTTTGCACAGTTTAAGGGTTAAGTCCTTTCCACATAATTTGTAGGTTGTGTGTGGTCTATTTTCACCTACTCCACATTCCATAACATGGCATTTATTCACATTGAATTCCATTTGCCATATGATGCTTCAAGCACTTCATCTAGCTTCATTTGAAGGGCATAATAATCATCTAGATTTACTATCTTCCCTAGAAGTTTAGCATCATCAGCAAACCATGTTCATATAATTTTGTATTATTTCTGGAAGATCATTTAAGTAGATGATGAACAGTACTGGCACAAGAACTGAACCTGTGGTACAGTACTCCACTCATGACATTTCTCCAGTCCAATCCATTGCCTCTGAATACTGGCGTCACTTTCTGCCAGAAATTTTTTCATCCATGTTAAAAGCCTCCCTACCACTCCTTCAGCATGTTCTAGTTTCCAGAACAACATCTCATGTAGGACTCAGTCGATAGCTTTCTTTAGGTCCAGATAAATGCAGTTAACTCAAAGATTTCTTTCCTGTAAAATCTCTCTGGCTCTCTCAAAGAAATTAAGTAAATTTGTTACATAGGATCGTCCAGATCAAAAACCATACTGTATGTTATTATATCATTTTTCTCCTGGTGTTCTATCCACTTGGTTTTAATGATTTTTTCCAATAGTTTGACTACCTCACTTGTCAATGATACAGGTCTATAATTAAGAAGGTCAGTTGGTATTAGGCTGGAAGTACACTGGCACAACTCAACACAAGATGAATGTAAAGGGTGTTTTCTCACCCTGACTTAAGGGTAACTTAGGCCACACCACATGGTTGCAATTAGCATACTTGGATTAGGATGGTAAGTCATTTCACAATATTTAGTTTCCAAACAATATTCATAAAAGGATTAAGTTCTTGAGGTTTATTTTTGCTTGGGTAATTCACTTTGGTAACAGGATGATTTCAATGGGCTTCCCTACTGTAATGAAAAAGCAAGTGAAGATGGTGTTTGTATTTGGTGTGCTGAGATTGTCACCACCAAGGAAGTAATTATCAAAAGAAGGCCCCCATTGTCACTGGCAGCCTGGTGTGGCCAGTGTCCTACATAATCTAGTGATACAGGTTGAGGCATGATGCTACAGAGGTGTAAACACAGAAAAGTTTGATTTCAAGAGAATAATGGATGGGAGTTCTATTCCAAAATAATAATCAGAAATCCACTGTACAGTGCAGTATCTCTTAAATTAATACAGTACAGTATGAAGTTCCATTAGCAATACTTACTTTAGTCTTATATAAATTATTGCAGTATCTGCATGGTATAGTCTTGGTGGTAGTATGTGTCCGAAGATGACTTCTTGCATGATTCAGAAGTTTGAATGCTTTTTTGCACAGCTGACATACAAACTGACGTACAGAGGAGTGGGAGGACAAATGTCGAGAGAGTGCTTGTTGTGTGGCAAATGATTTTCCACATTCATTGCACTTTTCTCCAAGTTCATCTGTTAGGAACAATTTAATGTGATAATAACATCCCCCAAAAATAATGAAAAAAAATTTTTTAAACAGTGAAATATAATTATCACTTTAAAAAATATTTAATAACAAAGTTGCAAAAACCTATGCTACAGTAAAGGAGGAATAAGGGCATGACCTAAGGGACTATAATGTCACTTTACTAGATAGTGCCCACACACATCATAAAACCAGCAGAGAATGTGATAATGTCAATATACTAAGAAACTTATTTTAATTTTGGATTTTAGTGTGTGGTGATACTAGTTTCTTTTGATGCTATTGAGAAGAGAAGGAAGTTTTAAAAGTAGAGTACCTGTGTTTTATTAATATCTGTACCAGTACTGTACTGTACAGGTATATCTGTATCTGTACTGAATCATTGGGTCTTCAGACTATCATGAAACAAATGCAAAGCGTAATGGAATGCCCTTTTCTGTAGGCTCTCAATAGCAGCCTGGTGCTTATGCATTGATATAGTTAAGCCTGAAGATTATGTCAGGCCTCTAAGTCACACAGTGATTTACTGAGACCCAGGATCAGAATGTGGCTCACAGTGTGAGATGGAACAAGGTTTGGGGATCAGAGATCGACCCAAAACTGAGGAAATCTGACCAGATTGGCAGATCACTATTTTGCCACCATTATCAACTGCCTTCTTTTCATCTTCCTAATTTCCTTCTTTCAAGAAGTGGTTTGTTGTGCATCATCTGGCTTTCTGGACATTTTCCTTGTTTTGGGTATATCTCCAATTCCTAAACTCCCCAAAAAGAGAACCTCATAAAGAAAACCAAATTCTGGTCCTAGTTTCTGGTAGCTCAGTATGTTTCTCTGAAGCCTGGCACAATTCTTAGGCTTAGTGGTATTAGCTCATAACATTCCTCTGTAAGAAAACCTACTAAATTACCACTACAAAGACGATGCTAAGTCATCTACTAAAACAAGGAAAATCAAATCATGTTGGGATTTCTCTTTAGAACAGAACTCAGTAATATATACAACAATTCTGTCATAAAAAAAAAAAAAAAAGACCAAACCATCTGTATACATACTAACCAATCAAATTTCTGATGAGCCTTAAGTACACATTTTCTTATATGTTAGGTAAGGTAAGAGAGCTTAATGGTGTTACCAAAACAGCAGCCCAGGATGACAGTTTTATCAAGGTTTTATGCGAGATTTCCCAGTAACATTAAATCTACCAAAACCAAAAAAAAAAAAAAATCACTGAATTTATGAAGTGCTTCTCTGTTTGAAAGTCATTATTGTTATAGAATTTATTTACTCTGTCCTAAACAAGAGCTACCCCCCTTAGAGTACTAAACAACTTTGTACAGCATATGTATCTATTGGGAATTTGTGGCAAGTCATATTAGGCAGAATTGTTTCCTTCTAACCAACCAATGACTTTGGTGTCACAGATTGTATCTCAAGCCATGTTAATTGGCAGCCGCAAAGAATACATTAAAAACATTTTAATACATTTTACTGGTAGAATCTGGTAAAGGTAGGAGCTGAACCCATTTTTCTTTCATATCTTTTTAGGGGGGGGGGGCATCAGTTAGTTTTTTAAAAATTGTTCAGTGTCAACAAATCTTTTTTGACTAGTTGTATATGAAAAGGGCTGCAATTGTTCCAAGCTTCAGTATTACAGCCTAAATAGAAAGGGAGATTTTTTTTTCAACAAATTTTACACATTTTCAAATCGAAATTACAACCACAAGTTTCAAATTAAATAATTTCTGTGACACTCTTCTATCACATTAGCATATAATAAAAGGATCGGTTTCAGCGGATTTTCCAAAATATGTTTACTTTTATTAATAAAAATAGTCAAAGTTTCATAAAAAAATTATGCAAATATATCATGATTTATTACAATTATAAAATCAATAAATGAATTCAGGAAAAAAAAGTAGAAACAGATTTGTAGAAACAAGCTCTACATATAAGGTGTAAGTTTCATGTAAACTGAATAAAAAATGAAAGTTATAGGAACGTTCATGTTACTTGAAAATAAATAAGTATAAAAATAAAATCTAAGGTTCTGCCATCTGTGGCTGAGGTTGACATCAACCAATTTCCTCCAAAATTGGCACCCTTACAGATAGGCTTACATGCAGTCAGGTGTATAAGTTTCATGCAAATCCTCCAATAAACAAATGAGAAAAAAAATTTAATATTTTTTTAACTAAATTATTTTTGGATAAAACTAATTATTAAATATTTGTATTATTTGCTATTGTGATAGCTATGAGTCATAGACATGATTTCAGTTGACACTTATGTTTGATGTTAATTTTTGAGCATTTTGGAAAAATTTTGACACAATTCTATATTTTTTTTCTCCCTTCCTATTTATGCTACGATGCTGAGACTTGGACCAGATGAAACCCTTTTCATATATAACTCGTCAAAAAAGTTTGATTGAAATCGAACTAGTTTTCATTTATTGTATATTTTTGGCATATTTGGAACTGATGCCCACTTAAACTAAAATCATCTGCAACAAGAAGTTGAACACTAAGCTCAATTCACTCTCTGTTATTCAAATGACTAAATGTGGCATCTCTCAATGCAGCCAACTTAAAATAATAGTTTGTTCAATATGAATGATGCAACCAAGTGTATGCAAATCTACAAAGCTTTTTGGAATACAGTTCAAATTTGCTGGAATTAGTGTTACATAACACATTTGCAATTAATAATTAGCCATAAAGCAGATCACATACAGAAATTTTCCTCATCACTAACTTATAGTAGTGATTTTAAACTACTGACCATTGTATGATCATAATAATAGACTAAATATAGTTATATAAGTGTTTATATTATACATTGATAAAAGGTATGTGGTATAACTGAAGAAACCATTAACAATATTCTGCATATGTTAATTATGTTTGCATTCATACCTAAAAATGCCTCTCAAATATTCAGGAGAAAGAACCCTGAATCTTTGTTTTAATGTCACTGAACACAAACATAATCACTAAACTAACATCAAACTGTAAACAAGAACATAATTAACATATCACATATTCCTAGCAGATCTGTGTATGAAACAAATATTCCAATGAGAGGTGCTGAATGTAAGTGAGAAACACTGAAAAGAACTGCACATTTATTATAACCTTACCAAGATGTAATTTCAAGTGTGATGCAAGGGTTGATCTTCTACAGTAATTCTGACAGCAAACAGGGCAAGTAAAAGATTTTCTTATAATATCTGAGGTCAAATGAGGGGGTTTGATGTCTCCAAGATCTTCAGTGCCCATATCTGGAAATTACAATGATAATAAATCAATAATATATATTTGGAAAAACAGTGTCTCAATAAATATTAATTTTTAAAACAGCTGTACAATAAACGTTTAATTTAATATTGAGAAAATTATCCATAAAGACTGTACCTTAAAATAAATGTTGTAAGTGTATTATGTGGGGGAAGTTAACAAAACTAAGGATGAATAATTTGTGTAAAGAAATGCTTCAAAGTTGTATCCAGTTTTCCCCGGATCATCAAGGCCTTGATCATATTATTGGTCCATAAAGGAATACTGGATGTTAATTTGGTACAAAAATCTGAATCACTGGTCAAACAACACATACTAAAAAGCATAAGTTCTGAGTAATGTTCATGCAGTTCAAATGAGCAATAAAGCATCATAATTACTAACATTCTGCAGTTATTTCTATCAGTTAGAAAATGTTTCATCTGTGTTAAAAGTCTCCATCACTCCTCCAGTATGTTCCAGTTTCCAAAAACCCTCTTGTGTAGGACTCGGATGAAAGCTTTTTTAAGGTCTTGATAAATGCAGTCAACCTAACCATCTCTTTCCTGAAATTTTCTGTGGCTCTATCATAGAAATTATGCAAGTTTGTTACACAAGATCTTCCTGTTCGAAAACCAAGCTGTTATTAAAAAATTTCTCTCTAGATCTTTTACCCATTTGATTTTCATTTTTTCTAATGTGTTGACTACCATGCTTGTCAAAGATACAGGTTTTTGTTGATACAATTAAGAGGGCTTGCTACCATTTTTGTAGATTGGAACTATGCTTGCCTTTTTCCATATATCTGCCAAGACTGTCTTTTTCCATGTATCTGCCATCTTTGTAAACAAAGATGACAGCCATTTTCAGCCATCTTTGTAAACAAAGATGGCTGATAAATCAACTGAAGTGGAGTGCTGAGCTGAGATGCACATTCTCTCACAACCCAATTGAAACTCCATCTGGGGCCAACTGTTTTGTTCCTTGAGTATTTTTTCCACTTCATTTTGAGACACCTCAATGTACTCTAATGTTATTCTCTGAAATTTGTATTGTATATGGTTTTCTGTGAACTTCTTTTTACACAAACACTCTGGAATTGTTAGATTAGTGTTTTGGAATTTTCTTTTCATTCTTTGTGAAACTATGCCCCATTTTTAACCTCAGAGTTTAATTATTTACCTGCAATTTATTTTAATGAATTTATAAAACAGGCCAGTTTCTGTTTTATTTTTGTGTCTGCTATCCCTTTCTCAGTGTCTTTCTGCCTCTCTGCTCACTGTCACATAGTTGTTACTTGCTTGAACAAATCCGCAAGGGCCGTGACGAGGATTCGAACCTGCGTCCGGGAGCATCCCAGACACCCAGACACAGTAGAACTTCGCTTTCAACACTTTTAACCCTGTCGTAGCTCAGTCGATTAAGGCAGTGTAGCTCTTGCCCTTCAGTTCTGGGAGCCACTTAGTGGCATGTCTTTGCACCTTTTTCCAGTTTGTTGTTGTGCTTCTTAAGATGTGGGCACCATACAACCGCTGCATATTCCAGCTTTGGTCTAACAAAGGATGTGAACAATTTCGTTAGTATTTTGCCATCCATGTATTTAAAAGCAATTCTGAAGTTAGAAAGTGTAGCATAGGCTCCTCACACAATGTTCTTAATGTGGTTCTCAGGTGAGTTTTCTATCAAGAACCACCCCTAGATCCCTTTCTTTGTCAGAATTCTTTAAAGATTTCTCACATAATTTATAAGTTGTGTGGGACTATGTTCTCCTATTCCACACTCCATAATTCACATTTATTCACATTAAATTCCATTTGCCAAGTGGTGCTCCATATACAGTACTTATTTTGTCCAGGTCTTCTTGAAGGGCATGACAATCATCTAGGTTTCTTATCTTCCCTATTATCTTAGCATCATCAGCAAACATGTTCATATAATTCTATATTCCATCTGGTAGATTGTTTAAGTAGACAATGAACATTACCAGTGCAAGAACTGAACCCTGTGGTACTCCACTTGTGACATCTCTCCAGTCTGATACAATGCCTCTGATTACAGCCCTCATTCTTCTACCAGTTAGTTAATTTTTCATCCATGTTAGAAGCTTACCTGTCACCCCTCCAATATGTTCCAGTTTCCAGAGCAACCTCTTTATGTGGAACTCTGTCAAAAGCCTTTTTTAGGTCCAGATAGATGCAGTCAACATCTCTTTCCTGTAAAATTTCTGTGGCTCAATCATAGAAACTGAATAAATTTGTTACACAGGATTTTCCAGGTCGAAAACCATACTGTCTGTCTGATATTATATCTTTTTCTCCAGGTGTTCTACCCATATAGTTTTAATTATTTTTCCCAATATTTTGACTATTACACTTGTTACTGATACAGGTCTATAATTGAGGGGGTCTTCCTTGCTGCCACTTTTGTAGATTGGAACGAGGTTAGCCTTTTTCCACACATCGGCTACAACTCCTTTACACAGGGATGCCTAAAAAATCAGTTGAAGTGGAATGCTGAGCTCAGGTGCACATTCTCTCAGAACCCACGGTGAAACTCCATCTGGACCAACTGCTTTGTTCTTATTTAGCTCCTTGAGCATTTTTTCCACTTCGTCTCTATACGAAGTGCTCTATGTTGTTCTCTGGAATTCTTATTGTGTCTGGTTCCCTGAAGATTTCATTTTGTACAAACACACTTTGGAACTTTTGTTTAAAGTTTCACACATTTCCTTTTCATTTTCCGTGAATCTACTTCCCATTTTGAACCTCTGAATATTATCTTTTACCTGCAATTTGTTGTTCATGAATTTATAGAATCGACCTGGTTCTGTTTTACAGTTGTCCACAATCCCCTTTTCAAAATTTCTTTCTGCTCTACTCCTCACTGCCGTGTAATTGTTTCTCACATCTTTGTATCACTGGTATGTTTGGGGAAAGTGGGAAAGTGTATATATGTTTATGTAAACAGTATGTAAAAGTGTGTTTGAAAAAAGGTTTGTTAGTTGAGATGTTTCACTTACTTTTATTTGCGTATACAAGAAGGTGCTTCTCCTCAATTAGGGGGGTAGGAATAAGAGGCATCTCAATCTTGCAAGGAACCAGAGTATTTGAGTTATCTGGTAAGCTGCTATGGTGTAGTTGATGGGAAATGGTATCCTCTTGTTTCACTACTTCATGAGTGCCTGAAAGATATAAATTACATAAGAGTAAATATTATTATGATATAATCAAAACTTTTTTTCTCATATAATGCAAGAGCATAATGAAAATAATAAGAAGGCAGTTCTGAAGCAAACATTTATGAAAAGAACCTACCCCCTCAGTAGCTCCCTTAGCTTATCTTGATCTTGATTCTTGATCTTGCATTACATTTACTTGGTCTTGATCTTATACATTGATACATTGGGTAAAAGCCTTTAAACCTTACACCACGTCTCTCACCTTTGTAAACACACACTAATGACACTAAGTAAAAGATACCCTGAACACTGGTTATGTAGGACAGACATAAGTGTGTATTTATGTACTGTATGTAGGTTAAATCAGCATTTTAAAAGCAGTACAGTACAGTCACCTTCTGAGTTGATTGTTCAACAAATCACTGAACTATATGTTTAATAGATCCCTATCCCTGTCCAGGGGGAACAGAAGAAAATGTATATATCCTAGTTAGCATTGTAAATGTTTGGCCATGTTTGTGGTAGAAAAAAAGGGTCTCTAAGATCCATCCATTGCCAACCCGGATAAGACTCTGGTTTGCTTTATGAGGTGAAGGTGAGCCTGGAGATCAAAGATCAACCCAAAACCAGAACAAAAAAACACACTCCAGGAAGCTAGGTGCAACAAAACAACATATTGCTTGAATAAAAATGTGATACCCCAGTAAACAAAACATACAGTCATTGTCACTGGAAAATAACGGAGGGTGAAACAGCAGAGCTAACACCTTAGCAGGGCAATGATAGTTTGAAGATCACTGCCTAGTGGTAACTAGAAAAAGTGTAGCAAGAATCCCGGAAAACTGGGAAAAATAAAGAGGATTACAGATCCTCAAAACCCATATAGTCACACCCCAGGCATGAACACCAGCCAACAGAAGGAAGCCTGGCAACCAGACAATGAACAAGAAGAAACATCAAAAGGCAACAAGGGTGAGAACAATGGATCAAAAACCAAAAAATCTCAGCCCCCAAAGGGAATTCTTAAAAAGACACCACAAGAGGGATACAGGTGAACAACCCAACCTAAGATTTAGGGTAACCTAAGACCACCACCACCAAAGCTGGGGTATGAGGTAGCCAAAGCAGAAACATCCCATCTGCTAAACAACAGGTTGCAAAACAAGTCAAATGGGCACTGACATCAGCTAGGGATAGTCATAGCAAACCAAAGGACAACAAGAAAGGAGACAACATTCATCTCCCCTGAGGCACAAAGACTGGAAAGGAGGAAGGGAAGGCCAGGAACAGAGGCCTCTGATCCCCCCCCAAAAAGTATGCCACAAAAACAAAGGGGTTGCAAGAACATGAGAATGCTATGAGGCTACAATCTAAAAAACTAGAGGGGAACAATACAAGTTGCAGCCACTGTTGGCATCCACTGATTAAGGAGCCAAGGCAATCCTGAAAATGCTCAAACAAATAGAATCGAGATGAAAAGGTCAACCAGCAGTCACAGCAATCTTGAGGTTATCTTGAGATGATTTCGGGGCCTTTTTAGTGTCCCCGCGGCCCGGTCCTCGACCAGGCCTCTACCCCCAGGAAGCAGCCCGTGACAGCTGACTAACACCTAGGTACCTATTTACTGCTAGGTAACAGGGGCATAGGGTGAAAGGAACTCTGCCCATTGTTTCTCGCCGGCGCCTGGGATCGAACCCAGGACCACAGGATCACAAGTCCCGAGTGCTGTCTGCTCGGCCGACCGGCTCCCCTTTTTCAAGGGGAGACAAAGAAGACAAAGAAGAGGCAGATTTGCTTCTAGCACACATGGGTAAAAGCAAGATGGGGAAAAAAAAAAAAAAAAAAAAAAAAAAAAAAAAAAAAAAAAAAAAGCAGTGTTGAACGTACTTTTCTGGATGGGCTTCTGTGGCTGCCAGAAGCTAGCTCATATAAGCAGCTCTATACATAAGTCACATCAGCCCCAAGAGTCTGTATTTCCAACCGGAGACCAGAGCATGAACGTGGTCTCTTCACAGAGGTGCAGAGAGCAGGGAATTGTTATGATCAATCTCACCAAGGAATCGTCCAGAAAGTAAGCGACACAAAACAGACAACTTCAAGGTTCACAGAAAGAAAAGAAATAAAGAAACAAATGACTGCAAACAATACACCCAGCAGTTAGGTCAGAACCCTTGGTTTGTAACAAAGCGAAAGGACATCCCTCAAACTCATGAGAAGTGAGCACAGGCTCAACGGGTTGATTCATAACAAGCTACACCAAAAATCTGCGGAGCTTGCTAGGATCTGGAGGTAAGGACCAAGACTAAACAGGACACCCAGACACTAGGGATGCTAGCTGAAAGAACTGACGCCGAATGAAGCCTGCAAGATAAATGTGGATACCTTTCGCAGAATGCAGCTGCATAATGTATCAGCAACATTAGGTCGGTCTCTATGGGACAAACATTCAAACCCACTAGAGAATATACTCTGTCAGGGCAGGGGCAACAATAAATGAGCACTTAGGGTAGTCCAATTACCTAATGTAAACTGATAACCATTTATCTGCCTACCCAAAAAAAGAATTTAGAAAACTTGACTAGGTTGATCAACAGTGGCACCTATTGTACAGTACTATCATATTTTTCAAACATAATTAAAAAGAAGTACCTACCATCAACATTGGTAGCCATATTCTCATTTCTTAAGACACTTTTAGTTTCTTCTGTATTCCAAAGGGGTAAATCTTTCTGCAGATCATCATCAGAAACATTGCCCAAAACTTCTTGCTTTAAGATGGTATTCATCTTTATATCCTGCATACAGGGCTGAAAAAGGATTAAGTAATTAATGCACAGTAAAATTATGACCCCTGATAGATCTGAAAAACCAAATCCATTGTGAGTGTTCACATTTCTGTTTTATTACCAAATTTTGGCAATTTTCTTACAGAAAATTACTGAACACATAAATAATATATAAACAATGCATAAAAAATCAAGTGTTGAATGCAATAAAACCAGTGTTGAATGCAATCACACGCCAATTTCTGGTTGATGCTACTATGTGCTAAGATGATACCATCTACTAATCACATCAGCCATGGAGTTCTACAGGCCTACCAGGGACCAACGCCAGAACTTGGCTCCCCTCACAGAGGTGCAGGGAACGATGACATTTATTTTCACCACTTCTCCGGAGAAGGCAACCAGAAAGTCATCGAGTCAAAACGAACCATCACTGGCTTCGTGAGTGGCCGAAGACTCAATACCCACTGAAAGAACTCCACAAATTATGTAAACAAAAGATCAAATTCCTTCAGCACTAGCATGAGCTCGTTTGCCCACCTTTTCCTGTTTGTTTGGGGAAAGGAAGCTCACCCTCCAGCTACCAGTTATACAGCAAATGTAGGCATCCACCCAATAACCAGGAATGGAGAGCAGGGATCAAGGAGCCACTGGGGCTCACCCAGGAATTGCCATTTCATTACATTCAATGCTGGATTTCTGGGGGAAACTCCTTGTGGCTCCCTGAAGCTAACGTTATTTTTGTTATTTATATATACAAGAGTTCTTACATTCTTGTAAAGCCACTAGCACACACAGTGTTTCGGGCAGGTCCTTAATCCAATTTTCCCCTGGAATATGGCCCACCAAATTGTTTAACAACCAGGTACCCATTCACTACTGGATGAACAGAGGTTACAGTTAAGAATTGGCACCTAGTCAGTTCTCCCTGGCCAGAATACGAACCCAGGCAAAATTGCTCGTGAAGTGAGAGGTGAGTGCTTTACCACTGTGCCACAAGGACTGCTTAACTGAGACGAAAAACACACAGGAACTCACTCGGGAAGAGGAAGCACTGTAGGAGACATGCCATAGATGAGACCCCTGGCCGACAGATATGACTCAAAGCCACATAAAGGTACCGAGGACCAGGAACATTCACCAAATACTGGATGATCTAGTAAATGGTACTATCTCAGCATATAGTACGGATGGCATGGATGGATGCCTACCAAGGACTAACCAGCAAGGAAATACACAAGCACAAACATCTTGATAATAGATACAATACACAAATGCGTTCATGAATGTATCATAAGCCTACTGCACAAACAGAACGAAGTCCCTAGGAAAATTATATGCCACTTAACTTTTGTGAAAATATCGGCTCGATACAAGATGTGTGACCCTGAGGCAAGTCACGACAAAATGTGAGTATTTGGGGAGGGAGTACAGTTTTGAGTAAGGACGTTGTCATATGGTGGCAGCAGTGGTAGTAACCTATTGGTTATTTGGCAGCTTGTCAATAATAAAATGTGTGACAGGTAGGCTTTTGTGATTTTACGGTACGGATTTTAATGTCAACATTCTGAACTAAAGTGAGTATTCTCGAGTGCCTTCCTAGCATCAACATGATCTAGTAGAAACAGGGTGAAATTTTCTGTTGGATCGATGCAGAATGTCAGCCTACCTGACTGCTGATTTTTTTTACACATGTAGGTACAGATGTTGATAACCTCTGACTCCTATTAGCAGGCTTAAACTTCCCCTTCCCATAGCTCATATTAAGCCTTAGCTTACTAATTTTCCTTGGAACATAACCTGACTATCAGTTTACAACCAGACTGTCCCTGAGTGAGCAGGGGCAACAAGCTAAGGATTGGTGCCCAGTCAACCCAAGGTTTGAATCTGAATGTAATGGCTTGTGAGGCATGGGGTGAGTGTACTACCACTCTAGTAAAAGGGCAGTAAGAACTTGCTTTATTGATCGATTGAGTGTACTGGTTAGAAAAGTGGTTTACATAACTTTAAAGCTTGCTTTTTTACATGAAATTAAAAACAGTACTCAGTTGATTCAAGTGCTCAGAAAACATAAGTGTTTTAAGAAAACATGTAAATATCACATTAAGTGAAAACTTTTACATAAAACTTAAATTTAAATACTGTACACAATACTTACTTTCTTCTCTATATGAGAAGAGTTAAGGGGAAGAGTCTTCCCATACAAAGGTATTTGAGAATCTTCCTTGTTCACACAAGATACCCGAGACTGTTGGTGACGAGCTAGGGAGCCTGACTCTCGGAAACTCCTACCACACTCCTGACAAGTGAATGGTCTCTCACCTGTATCAAAGACAGAAATAGTATAAAAATAAGCATTTCCAATAAAGTCACTAACTTAAATTTGTAGTAAGCAAATTATCACTTACAAGACTTCAAATAATACTTGAATTTGTTTTACAAGTGCCTTTACGTTCATACTTTCTAAACCCTTGCACCTAGTTATTACTTTGCCATTATTTCTGTTTTAAAAGTGATCCTTTTGTATGTTACCTGGATTACTTGGATTCGAACCGTTTTCATGGCCATACACAACAAATACAAATATATTTGATGTGAGGACCAAAGAGCTACTCTGAGGTCCCAGAAGCTCCACGGCTCAGTGGATAAGGAGTGCCAAGAATTTGGACTCCTGCAGTTGCTCTATGCATCCCTGGTCAGTCATTAAAGTACAATCTGCCTTCAGCATTTGTTTTGATGCTAGTTCAGTACTTTCTGACTGAGGTCACACGTATTACTATTGAGTTATAACTCCACACTTCTGGGGTGTGGAATTTTCAGTTGCATGTATGCTTGGGGGGACCATTCAAGCTTGTTCGCATTTATGTTGCTGCATTTACTTGCACTACAACTAAACTACAAGGGGTACAGACTTTTTTACTTAGATTTTTGTGTTTCCTGGGTGCTAATTAACAATGTAAAAATAAAAATACTGTTTTTGAAGCAATTTATTTTTGGCACACCATGGGAATTCCATTTAAAAAAAAAGCATAGTGCAGGTGTTAAGGCAAGGAATAATATAAAAGCATCAAAGACAAATATACAGTATTTGGATTCAACAGGCGAATGTGAATAGTACATCGTGTCTTGATTCATTAAATGTTTGAATCAAGACAAGGGATTTTGGAAAAAAATTCTTTGATATCTAAACTTTTCTTATTTCTAAAGCAGAAAATTTTAATCTTAAGTTTATTTACTTAATACAATGAGAGGCTTTTATGATAGTCAAGAGACCATCAGCATTTGACTTCAAATTTGTCTAAAAGGTTACATGCACCATCATGATGCACCATCATTTGAGTATCTTACTGATACTCAAATCTGATATTCTAAGCCAGCATATCCATAAAATGTTATTACCATTTCACCTGTAACTATATTACCTGTGTGTCGCCTCTCATGCCTAGTAAGTGAACCTTTTGTCTTAAATGACTGGGTGCATCCTCCATACGTGCAATGGAAAGGTCGCCCTTGGCTGTGTACGACTGCGATGTGTGTCCGTAGTATTTTCCCCTGGAACATAATGTATTTTGTGATTGTTCTGAATATACATTTTAAAACCTTATTAATCATTATTTTTCCTGTTAGAAATATGCTGAACATTTAAAACATAATAAATGCTACAATTACAAAATATTACCATATTGTATGCATAAAAATCTATCATTTAATAAATTGAAACACACTGCTCTGGGTGGCCCTTAATAGCAACATGGTATATTAGGCTAAAGTACTGCAAACCCCACATGAAATCTTCAGGTATCTAGAATTTCAATAAAGCTGTCAAACATTGGGAACAGAATCTAGTGTGCTCATAGAGATTAGGGAAGCTTGGGATCAGAGATTGACTGAGAGCTGTGAAAATGCTCGGAAAGTACAGACACAGCAAAACAATGAATCTTGATTAGGAAGAGAAAAACAGTAAGGTATGCCAGTGACAGTCATAATGCCAGTACCATTGGTGCACTCACCACCTGATGGCAGCTCAGGTCACCTGGGGTCCAGCTAAACAACAACACTCATGTACCAACACTCATGTACTCATATACCACTCTCGTAGGGGTGTGATGGGTAAAACCCATTACACCCCTACGAGAAAGAGGGGCAATGAAAGGCAGGAATATGAGGCTACTGAGAGTTGCCCAGAAAAGAGCATTGCATTACATTCAATGCTTGATCACTGGGCTGGTCCCTTTGTTGCTTTCAGGAGCATACTGTGCTGTACTGTACTTAAAACAGTGGCTCAGAGAGGAAACTCACTTTGCTGAAAAGAAGCAGATCAATAAAAAAATCTGACAAAGAGGGAGAGAGCTTATGCATGGGAATGGGAGAAAGGAAATGACGACTTGGGGGAAAAACACTCATTGGTGGCTGGAAATGTGCCAAAGCTCTATACAACTGCAAAATAAAAAGTAGGACATCCAACTGGCAACTAGCAACACACATCCGAACAGAATGCCAGAAACATGAGCCTGAATGTTAGTTATGGACATATTAGCGAAGAATGCAGCAATGGCAGGATACTGGCAGACATTACGAGTCTTCAAATCCCAAAAAGGGGGACTTTTGGAACCTATGGAATACATTCTATTTTTCTAATATGGCTTTAAATTTAATTTGCATAAATTCTTAGGCAAATGTTTCAAGTATTTATTAAAATCTTGAACATTTGAGCTATTCTGAAATATCTTGAGCAAATTTACACAGACATATAGTATTGTGAAGGTTGGAAGTTCCTAATTTTATATTAAAATAACATTATTTAAGTTACTAGAAAATGCAAAGCAAAAAAAGTCACAAACTTACTGTTTTAAATGTCTGACCACATAAGTGGCAGACAAGCTTATTCCATGTTTTACTTGGGCATTCAATATCATTATGTAGATGTTTATGATGACTTTTTGACTTTACAGCAACGATGTGTTTAATGGGCGCCTTGGAGTCCATGGGTATTTCTTTTTTTACTTGCACATCCTGTATATCTCTCTCACTGACAGATGATTCCTCTCTCATTATGCTGGGTGCTGTATGCTAAAAAACATGATGATTACTTATGAGAAATGTTTTAAAAGATGTAGAGTGCACTATAATAAATCATAATAAAGATCATGAGGTCTAGCAGATGATATATCTCACAAAAACCAAGTTACAGATTGCACTGGCTTCAGTTGGAACTACTCAAATTGACAAGTAAACTAAAGTAAGCCAGGATTCAAAGGACGAGATCTTGGGCTAGAAGACGGCTTGTAGTCTAGGATTCTACTTCCAACGCTTCTCTTCAAATGCACAAAATGCATAAAATAATGATTTTCTCATTAATACATCATGTTAATGTGATTTCTTTGTGCATTTGAAGCATTCGAGACAGAATTCCTAGACTACAAGCCAGAGTGCACGGAGGCAGTGTGTGAAACTCTGATTATGCTCCAATGGAAGCCTCAGGGACCCTAGAGTAATCAGTTGAATCTCAGGTTGTAATCTTTTTGACCATGTTATGATGTAGTGGTCTAAGGTATTTGCTTGGGAGTAAACCAGAGTACAGGTTCCAATTCTCCTCGTGGCTCTTACTGATTTTCTCAATAATAATAATGATGATAATAATAATATGAAGCATATTATATTACAAACATATTTTAAACTGATTTGCATATTAGTTTATTAGAAAATTATTTATTAGAAAAGTGTAGCCCATTATCCTAAAAACAATTTAGATGTACATACCTGGAGCTTAAAATGGTTGAAGATGGCTGCTTGTCTAGAAAATGTAAGACCACAAAGTTGGCATTTCCATCTTGTTTCACTGCCAGTTTCAATTTCTGATGCTTGCACAGCTAACTTAACATCGGTTTCATTCAAATCACAAGTTTCCTATAGAAAATAAATCATTAATGAAAATTTAGCAAAGACATACCTCTTAAAATTATTCTAAGAAAACCCATATATCCACATAATAAAAATTAGATGTGAAGATTAATGAACATAAATACATGTTCGGAATCAAACAGACTAACAGTGCCTGCATCACACACACACAAACAAACTTTAAGAATGCTAAAACTCATTATCAAAAACAAAACATTAGAAGAAAGTATTGTACCTAGAACCAGCATTCATAAAAGATACCGGCACTGAAAACCAAGGGTTGAATATAATGAAATGCCTCTTTCTGTTAGAACCCCAGTGACTTCCTGAAGATACTGAGCTAAGATTGCTCCATACTAATTGGTCACATCAGTCAAGAGAGTTCCTGTTAACCTACTGAGGATCACAGCCAGAACCTGGCCCCCCTTACAGAGGAGCAAGGAGCAAATTACACACTGCCACTCCACCTGGAAAGCATCAAGAAATTCAGTGAAGCTTAATTTTAACAGACAACTGAAGGTCCTGGAAAGTGAAGCCTGGAACCACTGAACTCCACAAATGAATCACAGAGAACAACAGAGCCGTTCAAACCAAACCCAATGAATAAAATATCATATTAAGTACAGGGAGTTCCCATTATGCAAAAGCCCGTTTTATGAACACTCATCCATCTGAACAGCCTCCCAGGTCCCAGTTTCTCTCTCTCAATCCACTATATTTATGTAAATCAATCAAAATATCCACATGGCCACTGGTGTTATGCTGCAATCCACATTATCCCAGTCAGCAGTACCTTGATCACAATCAAAATGAGCTAATTCTCTTTACTCCCAAACTTTTAATAAATCAAGGTAATTTTACATTTAAGTGCTGACACAATTATTGTTGGCAGCAAACTAGTTGTATTGTTGCTTTCCTTGATGCTTGCCATTCCTAGCCTAGGTATGTCTCTCTACATTTCTTATGTTCATTTCTTCATCTATTTCTCTGTACTAATTGCTGCTGTTAGCAGGCAGGTAGGCAATCTCAGTATTGCATGGAGATTCAGTCAGGCAGTCACACAGTGAGTCTCTCTCTGTCGGCATTCCACCAGTAAGAGGGCACTTGCAACTTGTTTTGTCTGGTCAGACATGCAGCCAGCCTGGAGTGGGTACGCACCTAGTTGTGAGTATAAGTGAGTGGGTTCGTGATTGTTGCTAGTGGGCAGGTGGGTAGTTACTTGTTGGGAATAGGTGTCATGAGTGGGTGTTGGGAGCTTGAGTGGGTGGGAGGGCGTCGTAGGTGGGTGTTGTGGGTGGGTGTCTGTATGGGAGTGGGATTGCTGGGAAGAAAACAATGCTGAGAGTGGCAGCTTTCACAAGTCCTTAGTGGCGCGCGCGCACACACACACACCATTTGAACAAGACCAGATTGTGTTTACCCTATTGGTGGGGTGGTGTCAGCGAGTGGCTATGGAAGGAGGGTTGGAGGTGTTTATTCGTGCAAAGAATTACAAATGGCTAACTCCCAATACAGTACATGCATGCATTTTCATTTATTTATTCATGCAATTTCACCTCTTCATTCTTCAAAAACAGCCAACTTTGACATGCTGGATAACTCCAACATTTAGGAGAGACAGAAAGAAGAGAAACAATTACTAGACAACTTCATACTGCTGCCAGGAAGACAGATGCAGGTGGGACACCAACAACTCAGCCACCTGCTGCCATACAAATGCCGATAGGTCAACATAAAAAATACCAGATGTGAAGAGCAGGAGAGGTCGAAACAGTGAGGTATGTCAATGGGCCAATCGGCTGAAAGAGGTGGATCCAAGGGACACCAAGCAAGAAGCACCAGAAATCAAGGCAGGGCCTTGGTTTCTGGCTCTACTGTTCCATGTGTTTCATTTTCAGAGCTGTTGAGCAGTTCAAGGCTACATTTTCTGTGAACCCTTTAATTATCTATAATGCATTGCTGGCTTTCAGGAGGCTTTCCCAGTGAAGTGATGGATTGTTACTCACTCCTTGCACCTCTGTGAGGTGGGTAAAGGGTCTGGCTCTGGTCCCCAGATACTAAACAAAAACTCTTGCAATTACTGATTTGACCTATTAGTGTGGTGTAATATCTCAGAAAGATACGTTCAGGAAACCACCAAGAGGCTCCCCCCCAAAAAAACCAGCGTTGAATGTAATGAAACACCATTTTCTGGGTGAGTCCCGGAGGCTCTCCGGAGCTTTCCCAGGCTCATATGCTAATGTAAGACTTTGGCATCAGTCATGTGTATAGAGTTCTTAGACCTACCAGGGACCACGGCCAGAACCGGGCTCCCTCAGAGAGGTAAGGGGAGCAATGGCCTATGGTAACCCCCGTGTGGTTGGAAGCATTCTATGTCTGCCATCGACCAGGACAGGCACCCAGAAAGGTAAGTGTCCTAAAACAAACCCCTATTCTGGTGAAAATTGCTACCAAAAAACCAAACTAGTGGATAGAACTCCCCAACTGAAAACAAGCAAACTAGTGTGACGTCACACGTTGCCGCGCCGCTGTCTGCGCAGCTCCCCCCTCCCCTCGGGGAGGGGGGAGCTGCACCAGGGGAAAGTTGAACCACTCTTGGAGTTAGACTGATGATGATTCACTGTCAACTGCTTATATTATCAGACTTCACCTCACCTGACCATCCTCTAGCAGGTTGGAAAGAAGTATTAACTGTAATAGTGTACTATTACAGGATGGGAAGAAGTAATTTCCCTAGTGTTCAACTTTACAGTTCAACTGTAAAGTTGAACACTAGGGAAATGTGATAACTTATAGATAGGTGATGTAGGATTAACAAACACATCACATTATCTGCACATAAGTTAATGAGAGTTCGGAGCAAGTATATTATAAAGTTGCTACACAAGTGTTTGACAAGTTTGACCATAGTGTCATTGTGCACAAAAGGAATTACTGTGTCTAACAGCCTGGTTGACCAGTCCTCCAACCATCAGGCCTGGTCAGACCGGGCCGTAGGGACGCTGATCCTCAGAACACAAGATAAATGCATGGTAAGGTAAGCATCAAAGTGATCACCATTACAAGATGAGTCAGCAAAATTGTGTTGCCATGAGTCTAGTATTCTCCTATCCAGCTTCTTCCGAAGATGCATAAAACCTTACGTCTTGTATGTGAAAAAACAAATTATTAATATTTTGTTGATTTGGAGCACGAGCAGAGTGGCAACTTTTATAAAATATGTAAATTTGATCATATTTACTTTATATGTTATTCCTTTAATTAAACATACCTTATACATAATAGGGACGAGATCTTTAACATGTTTAATGTCTGCTTCTTCTATTTCTGCTCTCTTCTTTGAAAATCTGAAAATTTTAACATTATAAGACAGCATGCTATTTTATAACTATATTACAATAGCAGACAGACAGGACACATATCAAAGGCCTATGGATGACTACAAAATGGTATCCCTTGTCAAAAGAAGACAATGAGCATAAAGAGTCTGAATTCAAGCAGATTAAATGTTAAAAATAAATGCTGTGATGAAAGTTCACTAAAGCCAATATTTTTAAATGATTTGAAAAATGCAAAATATTTACTTTGGGTGGTTGTAAGCAAAGGTCAGTGCACTCCCTGAAGCCCTGGATGACCTCAATTAATGGGGTGGAACAACAGCACTGTACTGAGTTTAATAGGTCATTCACAAATCAAATTAAATCTCTATAGAAAAGGCAGAGTGAAGAGATATCTCACCACAAGTGTACTGATGCAATGATATGCAACTCTTCTATATTTAATGATTTTACTATAGTATTTGCCATTTTTGAACAGTAAAGTTGTCTAAACAACACCCTGCTTTCATAGGTCTTTATGACTCGCAAGGGCCTGGTGGGGTATAATATGTATAGAGCAATTTGGTTGGCTAACTCAAGGGAGCCACTGAGGGGTCCCTCCTAAAAACGATGCCCCGCTCACCTCGTGATCAATGTACACAAGATTTCTTGGGACATCACTCTCCACTTACAAAATAACTACAGGTACTGTATTTTCAGCCAAAAATTCATCACATTAATGGGAAAAACGTTCAGTATTTTAACAAAATATAAGTGATATAAATGGAGAAAAACTCTAAATGTCCATCCACAAGACAAAAACAAAGATGGTCAGTGCTCAAGTGAGGCACCCAAGACAGGTGACCAATAAAACCCCATGTTTTTCCCATTCAGAGGCTAAGGTGGCAAATCAGATGGAAAATAAATACATGTACAGCAGTTCCAAATGTTTGAATTGACGGTGGATGAACTGTGGGTTGGTGCCTCTATTTCACTTTATACAGAGGCAGAATATTGAAGTTTCAAATTATATTTAATATAGCCTACCTTGGCAAAAGAAGATCCCTGATAGAAGATGAAGGACACAAATGCAGAACACATTGCTCCTTAAGCACCATATGTGACACGTAACTCTCAATATCACAAATTTTCAATCCACACAATCCACATACAAACCAGTCAGCTGTATATTGTCCACCTTCTAAACCTAGAAAGGAAAAAGGTCAATATTATTTGTTTATGAAATGAAAAATGGTACTGTATATGTTACAAGCACTCTTCTCTAGGTAAATTTAACTTGAATTTAACAGTTGATTGCTAAAGAAAAAATAAAGTAATACAGTACTTTTGTTGGTTTTAATCCATCCCACTTACTGTGCAGAGATTTGGAAAGTTAAATTAAATTTAGCATTAAAAAGTCCTAACAAGTGAAATGTCTCCAAGAAAGTTTATTTATTAGTTTATTAACATCCTTATTTTGATGATTAAAACATTATTTTCCTTATGATTCTCATGAGTGTATCTGGATATCAAGAGTAATGGTCATAAATATTTTCTCAAATGTCATTTGCTGATATCTATCACATTTACATACGTACTTGTGTGATAAATACAAATGCTCTGGAATATTTTTTGGCATCCTGTTACTGAACAATATAGGAAATAAAACTTTTTAAAGTCATGGATGTCTGGAGACTGGTAACCGTCCAGATAGGATGCCAGTACCTTAAGTCTCATCCAGGGTGTCCTATATTTATCTAGCTGTAAGGTTTCCTAAGTACTACTGAAACTTAAAATAAAGTATATACTGTATCTGGTCCTGTGATTTACCTGTGGCCAGCTTTATTAATTGTTCTGTTCTCACAGCCCACACGGAGACCAGACTTTTGTGGTGTCATAACAGACTCTTCCTCACTTTTAAATTGAGCAATTTAGAGCTTACATGTCTTAGGGAGAATGTTGATACTACAGAATCTTTAGATAGCATGGTTAGGCCTTAGACAGCTTTTAGATCACTTTTATATGATTAGGCCTAATCATCCTGGCTGAAATTTAAGTTTCATCTTCACATACAATAATATCAAATACTAAATTCTGTTTGTACTACTGTACTAGTCCTATCTCAACACCACATTAGAAAAATCAGTATTAGAATTGTGCAGTCAAATGTCTTACTTGCGCTGGCCTCTTCATTCACTTGATTTTCCATGAATGGTCGGTGATGCTCTCCCATTGCTGCAGGTCACACACAAATTCTAAGAAAAAATTAAGTATTGAATGCAATGAAACACCAATTTTTGGCATGTCCCTACAGTGAATACTTGAGCTACCAACCTGGTTTTACTTCAAACCTGAAGCACCGTGAAACAGACCCTTTGATTCACAAGTGCTAGGAACCAGGGCCAGAGATTCTGGCCCCTCTTAATAGAGGAAATGGAGTCTAGGGATGCAAGATCAACCCACAAAAAGGAAAACTACCAGAAAGGTTGAGTGCCCAAAAACAAACAACTGTATGAAAATATTGGTAACCAAGATAAACTATTTACATGCTCATTGCCTAGATCCAACTGCTAGTTAGTTACAATTGCCCCCCACCAGATAGCCTCCTTAGCAACTTCAGGCACCTTCTGGTTTCCCCCATTTGCAGCACAAAAATGACATGAGAATCACAAGAAAGAGGGAAAGACTTTAATGGGAAGCCACAGAATGGACCTACCAGAAAGTCTTATTACATTCTTATTCTGTCTTATTACATTCAATGCTAAATTTGTGGGAGAGCTTCCTACAGCAGCTCCCTAAGCTAATTCACCCTGAAGAACAAAGACCCAATGCCACACAAGCCCAGTTTTGCCAAGGAACATGCATTAAATATTGAGAAGTGAGCACCCTGTTAAAGAGCGAAAAACCACGAGTCTCAATCTCAGTCCAGAACACCTGTGCACGAAAAAGGTGGACAGAGCCACAAACTTGTGGACATCATGGATCCATAGTTAGACTACAAGCTGGCTAAATCTAAACCCACCCTTTGGATAACTGGGCCACTGAATAAGGAACCAGACCCCAAATTGACTAACAAAGTGTACTTCAAGGCATTCCAAGCAGCATAAAAGTAATGGCGGATTGCCGCCACTGGCCAAAGAATGCGATGAACCACACCGTGGCAACCAAGCAATATTACCAAAGGACCTCTCTGGAACCCTGCTGCTTCCTTCCAAGCTAGACATAAGAGATGATTGAAGACAAATCAATTGACCCACAGGACCAAAAAAACAAAACCCCATTTGCCGAGTAAATAAATAAATAAATAAATCTGCTTCCTGATGAGCCACACATCACAAAGGGGGCTCAGCTAAAATCAAGGTCCAACAATGACAACATTGCAGGTCCAGGAATGAAAACAAATCATGAACCCAATGAGTGTGTACAAAGTTTGTGTCTGGGTTACCAATATTTTCCATGCAGCTGCTTGTTTTTAGGTGCTCTACCTTTCTAGTAATTTTTTTTTTTTTGGGGTGTCTAGAGTTGTTCCAGACTCCCATTGCCTCTGTAGAGGGAACCAGATTCTGGTTCTGGTCCCTAATAAGTACAGTACTTGTGACACAAAGGCCTGGTGGAGTGCTTTAAACTTAAGAGCTAACCAGGCAGGTAGCTCAGCAAGCCATTGATCAGGAGCCTCTTTCAGAAAAAATTTACAAATACCTAGGATACAGAATGGAAAGATCATGTTTTGGTTTTATATATATATATATAACAAGTAACTGTTCTGTAGGCCTACTAGAAGTATTAAAATTTATAATATATAGAAGCACTGTAAATAAAAATTAATTATGGTCTACTTAAATGTACAGAACTTTGTAGCAAACATTGTTTAACCATTTATCGGTATTGTATTTATAAATGTCCAAAATGACTCATTTTGAAAAGTGCACAGTAGATACTAAAATTAAGAAAATTATTTTCCAGAAAAGCTTAAAATAATTTTGGTTGTTAGTAATGTAATACTGTATATTTCATTAAGTTGGTTTGGCCCTTCGTTTGAGATAGATGTAAACACACAAACCCTGCCCACCATTGTACACCTGCATCTAAAATGTAATAAAACAGATTGCTTGTGCAACCAGATATGAAATGCCCCCAGTTTCCATTCACACCCAGGATCAACTCTCAGCTAAGGAGACAAGCTCCAGTTCTCTAGGATTTAGCTCAATATTGGTGTTCAGCACCATATTTGAATTCAACCCATGTATAGGATTCCAAAAATGTGCAACCATGTTGGAACAGACGAACGCCCAAACTGAGAGCAACCTGTCCTCAGGCCAGGCGCATAAACAGCTGCCAATCCCCCAAGACGCATTCATAAATTTTTACATACACCGTTTTAAAAATGGGTTAGTTCTTATATGTAAATTTACATTTTTATTCATTAAAATTCTCTGTGTATAGTTAGGCATAGGTTAGGTTAGGGGTTTAGGTTCTGTTGACAATTATATGTATTTGAAGTACTGTATGTGGGTGAAGCATTTAAAACGTTGACAATTTATTTTTATTTCCATATCAAATATTTTCAACAATTTTCTTTGGGTGCTCATCAGTTCCTACATTGTTGCACATTTTTAGAATCATATACTGTATATGGATTAACCCAACTGACGGTTGGGTCATATTCCAATTAGCAGTCCCCCATGGCGCAGTGATAAGACACTCGCCCCATTTCGCAAGTGATTTGGCCTGGATTCGTATCCTGGCTGGGGAAGATTGATTAAGTACTAATCTTTAACTTTTGTACATATAAAAAAATAATAAAATCTACAGGATGGAACATGTACAGTAATAATGAATGTATACATTATGGTGAAAGCAAGTTATCACCATATGGAGAGCTGAACTTCAAATTAATTGATTATAAAAAGTAATCTTGAATTTAGCATAATAGAAAAAATATATTAAAAGAAAAAATGTGAAAAATCGCAAGAATTTATATACTATACTAGTTCATGCTTTTAGCTTCTTGTGGTTTGTGAAGGGTGCCAACCAGAGTAGGATAAACTGTGGAGCCCTTGCCCGAACATTCATATGCCTTGTTCTGTATTATTATCAACTTAAAAATTCTACCTATAAGCACCAACTCACCTGAGCTTTGAACCAAGACTTATCAACAAATTATGACTCATTATCACTGCACGTTATTTGTATAATGCTTACCAAGGTTATAAGCTAATATATAGATATATATATGCTAAATATTGGAACAAATTATCAGTAGATGGCAGGAGACAGCTTCGCTCACACCTACAATCCCAAGACTTTTCAAAATAAGAAACAGCTGATCTGTTCATTGAGAGGCGCCAGGTTGAACAACTTACATAAAAATTGTAATTAGATCCGTTATTCTGCCATTATTTATAGTAAACGTTTTGCATTGTGGTTACTATACAATTTAAAAAGAATATAAATTAAGTAATTTTGGTTAAGAAATAAGCGATATATGAAGAAAACCAAAGGAAAAGTAGCAGTTGAAGTTGGTTGTGCGGTTGGCAGCCATGTTTCGACAAAGAAAGACAAGAACACTCCTGACTGTACCAAAACAACAACCAGGTTCCAATAATAACTCGCCACCATTATTGTACCAAAATACTAATTTAATATATTTAATAAGATTATTCAGCTTACTTTTTTTAAATTATAAAGTCGCTAGAATATTATATTTGATTATAAAGAAATATCTAAAGTCGGAACATGAGTTTTGCTATATTGTATAGTGTTTGATGTCGGGCTTAAAATAATAGAAAAACAGTGGTACGTTCCAGTAATATTTATAATATAAAGTATTGCTAAAATCATCGAGAATTTTGCGTAGTGAAGTGCATATACACAAATTAATACAATTTAAACAAACGTATTACATTTAGACGATGTGTTACGTGAAATATGTAAGAAATTCTTGTTTTTTTCATATTTTACAAAAGGTTGTGGTGTAGTCGAAATTGAAGCTCACAGCTGAGAAGGTAGTCGATCGAGGTGTCTTGGTGTGAATGTTGCGCACCACCGTAATTTCGGTGTCATTTTTCGCGAGTGTGAAGCAGAAGTGGTGTGGCTTCACCACGGCGTTCACGTAGACACACTGGCCTCCTGGCAAAACCCACAATACGGTGGAGTCTCTCCGCCTCCACGGAAGAAACGAAAGCAATCTTCCGAGGACACCACTTCAACCACAGACAATATGCAGCAGCAGAATCAACAACATCAGTTGCAACAGCAGCAACAACAAGCATCTAATGGGTCAAGTGAAGTGCAGCAAAATGGTATGGGACAAACTGATGGGTGTGAGGGTAACACTGCTGAGTCACAAAATGGTGTGAGAGAGGAGGAGTCCTCCCCTAAGTTGAGTGTGGTACAGCAAGAGATGGTTCGCCTCATTGGACAACACCTTGTCGAGCTTGGCCTAAAGTAAGTTGAAAAGTATTAGATAAGTGATTGAGTTGCTCTTTGCATAGTTCTGTAGATTAGAAAAAGTATATAATTGTGTGACATAAATGACATTGGCATAAATGACTCTAAATAGCAAAACAAATTAAAATGAGCCATAACATAAAGTTATGCTTTGTAGAGAAAGAGGACTGTTTTAATTTTATGAAGAAATGGTAAGATAATATGAGAAGAGTAAAAACCTGCTTGTCCCCAGAGTCTGTAGAGTGTTTGTAGGATTTGCAGTGATACATATCTTGACTGTTCTCAAAACGAAAAACTTTTAGAATCAAATGTGAATATAGTTTACTCATGTGATTTTAAAATACTATAGTGAATTTTGACTGGAGTACAGTGCTATTTACTGAGAAGTGTTTATTTTCTGTAACAATTTGGGTTTGTAACAATTCAGAAGATGAATAGAGATGGACTGCATAGTCAAGACGAGTGAGGTGAAGAGTGAGGAATGAGTTCCATGAAAGGGAGAGTTTAGAGGAGAGATAGAAGATGGGATGAAAGGTAGACTTAGTGAAAGGGACAAAAAGGGGGGGGATTAAAGGAAGAGTATGATTAGAAAAAGTTAAAGTAAAGGAAGATCTACCACCATCCATTCGTAAATCTACCAGGCAAGGAATGGAACTAGTCTCTTAACAGCTAATATAATTTATGTTTATAGGCAAGAAACTGCAACCACATAAAGTATGAAGTTACCTATCAAATCTGTATCTTTAGTAAGTACTCTTTCCTAAGTACTAAGTTTAGAAAGGAATCCAAGGTCTTAGGGGATCAGGTGTAAAGATAATTAAAAAATAACTTACAAAGAATATTCAATTATTATATATGATGCAAGAATATGGAAGGATAATTTATTCCCTTGACTTCACCATCGAGTGTGACGTCACCATTCTCACTCGTAAATAATCAGTCACCACCCAAAAAAAAAAATTGAGCCATATGGCAGGCTGCCCCTGGAATATCACAACATATAATTTAGAAACACACAATAAATCACCTTACAAACTCACCAAAGTCTTGGTTACAATGGGATAGGGGACGGGTGGTTGATTGACCGTCAAGGGCCCCCCACCCCCCTGCCAGCTTGGACAGCCCTGTGTGATATCTGTCCTACAGAGCTGAATCCTCAATGCAGAGTGAGGTTCCTCTCTATCATAATGTACAACTTCTCTGGTATTTCATGGGGAACCAGGAGCTAAACTCTGCCTACTGGAGATAGCCCCCAGCTATCTTACTATTATACTTAGACTGTGACATGTTTGATGGAAAGACATAAGTAACCACTGTTGGCATTTATCAGCTTACCACAAGGCAAGGTCACCTGACATGACCTGACCTCGAACCTGTGAACATAGGTGCCTCAAGTGTGTCTTATTATTGTCTCGGAGCAAGACTGCCTGGAGATGCAATTTCCTGTGTAAACTGACACTACACTTAGTGAATTTTTTAAATAAAACCATTTACATTTTGAGTACATAGCCCCTTAACAGGTAGCAACATGTTTTTGGATGTTAGGCTGGGCTGTGTTTGGTTTGTTAGAATAGGATAGGTATTCTAATTCAAGCAGGTATCAAGCAGGATGTTAGGTTTGTATTATTATTTTAGATTAGAAACAAGTTAGTAAAATGTTCAAAGCATAGGAAATTATAGGGTTCTAAGATTAGGAGACTAAAATACAGTAGTTACCAGGTATCAGCTAGACAATATTTATATTTGCAGATTTTAATGAGAGAAAAAACCAATGTTAATATTAATAATGATCTTAAGCCAAACAATTTATTTATAAATTTCCAAAATAAGACGAATTGGATGTACAGGTACTGCTATGATTAATAACAAGTGTTGGTACTATATTAACGTAACTAATCTTGATATTCAGCCTTTTCTTGCCTTTGTTAGACCTAAAAGTACATACTGATGGATTGATATCGGTAGAAACCACCAAGTTTTGTCATATTGGTCAAATTTCTAATGATACTTTTATTTTAAATTAAAAACAAAAAATCACTGGCTGCTACAGGCGTACATAGCTATTGCCTTGTGTTTAGTAGTAGTTGGAAACTTTCGGAGCTCACTCCTTTGGGTTGGTCATTCACAAAAATTAGGAACGGCAATGGTCCCAGGACAGAGCCTTGTGGGACCCCACTTGTTACATTCCTCCAGCTTGAAACCTCTTCCTTCACTCTTTGCTTTCTGTCCATCGGATATTTCCTTACCCAGTCCAGTGTTTTCCCAGTTATCCCAGCCTGGTTCTCCATCTTGTACATCCATCTTTCAAATGCCTTTTGACAGTCTAGAAAAAGTCTACCCAGCCTTCATTTTCCTGTCTTATTTTAGTAACCTTGTCATAAAACTCAATCAGGTTTGTCAGGCACTATTTTCCATTTTTAAATCCATGCGGTTAAATCCATGCTCAAGATGCTCCACCATTCTAAACCTGATTACTTTCTCTAGTACGTTACACGGAATACTTGTCAATGACATGGTCTGTAGTTTAGTACCCCCCCTTTCTGTCCCCTTTTTTGAATATTGGGACTATATTTGCCTTTTTTCCAGACATCTGGGAGACTTGGTCTCGAGTATTTTGTAAAAAAATAATCGAACAATGGGTAGCAAAGTCTTTTGCAGCCTTCCTCAGCAGCCATGGTAAGATTAGGTGTGGTCCTATTTATCACATCTAGCACCCCACGATTTTTTATTTTTTTTTTGCATATTCCACGGTAACTACAATGCCGTTTTGGTAAAAATGCCAAAAATGTGGTATTTTTTTTTTGTGGCCTTTCATTTTGCAACCTTGGTCTCCATGCTGGTTCTAATGTTAAGACTTCCTGAAATCTTTTGTTGAATCCCTCACATACCTCCTTATTATTCTTTGTGAGAGCTCTCCCTTGTTTCCTCAATCTGAGTACTGTACATGGTCTCTCACTTGTTTTTCGCCTTATATGGCTATAAAACAGCTTCGGTTGTTCCTTAGCTTTTGCAGCAATGTCAGTTTCAAATTGCCTCTCCGTTTCTCTTCTAATTCAGGTGTATTCATTCCTTGTTCTCTGTTCCCATGTCTGTATTTTTTCCATTTAATTTTTTTGTCCTTTCCTTAGCTTCCCTGCATTGCTTATTGAACCAGGGGTTTACTTTTTTCATCCACCTCCTCTTTGAGTGGTATGAACTGTTTTATTGCAGTGGTACATTTGTAGGAAATGAATTTCATCATCTCATTTGCTATCTTCACTGACATTTTGCTTTCCCCCTGGATTTACCACAGAAAGTCCCTCATCCTGTTGTAGTCCCCTTGTCTGTAATCTCTCTTCTTCAATAGGTTTCGTTGTGTAATAAATTCCTTCAGCTCCACTATGTACAGTATTCAAGTAAGACAACACAGTGATCGCTAGCTCCAAGAAGCATCTCGCTCTATTTTTTCAACATCTGCTTCATTTTGAGAAAATACCAAGTTGTGTTGCTGGTAGATCATCTCTCACTCTTGTTGGTTCTGTGACATGTTGCATTAAGAAGTGTATGTCTGCCAGTTTTGCTCTCTGTGTCTCATCACCCCATGGGGATATTTACCCAGTCTATTTTCCTAAAGTTGAAGTCCCCCAGTACAGTACAGTACAGTACAGTGGGAGCCTCAATTAACGAATTTAATCCGTTCCTGCACCGAGCTCGTCATGTGAAATGCTCGTCTTTCAAACGAATTTCTCCATTTAAAGTAATGGAAATAAAATTAACCCGTTCCATCACCGAGAAACATCAGTATATTAGATTTTTTATATAATGGAGCAGCCTACCTAACATACACTGAACGAACCTTTATGACATCTTTTCTTTTTTCAAGTTTGTTCAATTTTCTGGGGGGAGCCCCGTCGGCTCCCCGGAGCTTTACCGGCTGATATGCTAATGTCAGACTTTGGCATCAGTCATGTGTATGGAGTTCTAGGGCCTACCGGGGACCACGAGCCAGAACCTGGCCCCCTCAGAGAGGCAAGGGGAGCAATGGCCTATAGAAACCCCCGTGTGGTTGGAAGCATTCTATGTCTGCCATCGACCGGGTCAAGCATCCAGAAAGGTAAGCATTCCAAAACAAACCCCTATTCTGGTGAAAATTGCTACCTAAGCCGAACTAGTGAATAGAACTCTTCAACAGAAAACAAGGAAACTAGTATGACGTCATACGTCACCGTGCCGCTGTCTGCGCAGCTCCCCCCTCCCCGGGAGGGGGAAGGGGGAGCCCCAGACCTCCCACGCCGGCTATCCACCCATCAGTTCTTCGGCTGATGCTATAGGCAATGGTTATGTGCTCCGGCTCCAGTGGTTGTTTCAGCACTGTACCTAGAGTGTGGTGTCTGTTTTCTAGGTGGTGCGTGAGCCAGGAGTGATTCTTCAGTACTCGGGCTGCATGCGCCTAGGGTTCCCTTCCCTAGGTGCCCTGTAAGTACTGCCCTTGGGGCTTGGGGCCACCTTCCACAAGTTCCTTGGGTCCTGCCCCTGCTTGGCCGTTTACTGCTTGGTTTTCGGCCGCTCTTTGTGTGCTCGGGTGTTCTGTCTCCCTTGTTCGCCTTAGAGTAAGGGGCAGTGTTTGCACTGGTGGGGCGCGGGGTACTGTGCAGCTTGTCTTTACCAATCATAGCGGCCGGCTCTGTTCCGCTTGGGTACGCTGTCCTCTTGCGGGGTTTTCTTTTTCTTTTGTTTATATACCTGGTGGGGGGGGTCTGCCTTCGTTCTTGCCCCTTGTGTTCTGAGTATTTCTGGTGGTACCCCCTGCTAGGTCCCCGTGAGTGTACACGTCCCGGGGGTTCAGCTCTTAGAAAGTTGTTTGGTAGCTTGGGTGCCGGTTAGCAGTACCCTGCCTGGGATTACCTGAGCGCGAGTCCTCTTAAAGTAAACGCTCGGGACCCTGGGAAACCCTGGGGGCGCGCGGGTCCGATGGATGTGACCCCAGAGCCCCCCCCCTCGCTTCCAGCGAGTTTGAG